AAAAAAAAAAAAAAAAAAAAATCAATCATCAGCTCTCTCTAATTGAAATCTAGTTTTCCTAGCTAACCAGTAAATCAAATAGGCAGATGTAGGCAACAGGCAGATTTTTAGTTTTCTAAAAGCTGCCAAGTCCTTCAGCAAAGAGATAATTGTATGAATTAATCAAATCAGCATGGAACTAAGTCTGGAGAAACAAACCTTGTTTTCTGCAGCCTGGAATTTTTATAAATGCTCCATATTCTGTTACAGTAGCAACCTAAAAGAAAAATCAATATAAGCACAGACTGGAAGATCTTGTTTATTACACCGATTTTCTCTTTCACTTACTAATTTCCTTCACTACCATTCTCTTTCTCCTCCTTTACTCGGTTTGTGTAGTTTCTAACTTACTTTTTGCTAAACTGCATCAGAGTATATGCTTTTGAAACAAGGAAAAGTATAACGTATTCTTGCATGTCCTGGAATACAATATGCACCTTGTTTTCAAAGTTAGAATACAGGGAAAAAAAAGTTTTTTCCAGGGTTATGGCTACATAGAGCAAGGACATGACAATCTTAAAGAAGTGACCTCCCTTCCCTTTCCTCCTCAACTAAAGCTGAAATCCTAGCTGTTGCTGAAGACTGGTATCCATGGGTTGATCTGTAATTTTAAAATAAGAGCTAACGTGTTTCCAGGGCTGTGAAATAGCCCTCCCTCCTCAAGCTCTGGCAATGGCCAGATAGGACTGACTACAGCCCTCAGCAGCTCACCAAAACTCCTTAAATGGCCCTCCGGCTCAAATAATTGCCCACCCCTTCTTCAGATGCAAGGGGATGAAGAATACACTAAGGGTACAGACAGACATAACACTTAAACTGTTTTTAAATGTGATTTAAACTGCAAGCATTCAGATGCACAAGCCAATTTAGAACAGTTTAAAGCTCATGGAAAAAATCAGGTACTATGCTGAATGGATCCTCTTTGAACTGGCTTGGGATTATTTGCCGACGCCAAGCTTTCTATGACTAGCGTCTGGTCAGTCCTCCGGACATCATACACTGTATCACTCCTCAGCTCCCCCACCCCAGCACTCAACCCCCACAGAGCAACTGGCTACTCTGGTATGTAGCCAGAACTCTACTGCCCTAACCAATAGTCCCTGCACTTGATCCAGTCTATGCCATCACAGGCTAATTTTGGCTGAAGAGGGGGTCAGGGATCAGGTATGTAAGGGAATACCCCTGCTCCTGGGTTTCCAGAGAGGCGGTCCAATGTGTCTGCAAATTTTGAACAGCACTTTTCCCCCAAGCCGCTTGTCAGTTTTATTCCATCAGTAGCAACTGACCAAGTTCTGGGGGCAATCCAAGTTGATCTGGGTGTTGATGGGGAGGGAATGATGGCTAGAGGGGGTATCACTACTTCTGCATTTCCAGGGGCTGCCCAGTCTCAGTGTGTTTAACAGCACTTTCCCCCCAGGAAACTGGTCACAATTCCATTCCATTTTCAGCAACTAACGTGGAAAACTTGAATAGCCCACCAGAGCACCCAGCATCCTGGGGAACCTGGAAGCAGAGGTACCCCTTCCATCTACCTAGCCACCTCAAATCAGCCTGCAATGGCCCAAATGGAAAGAAACTGATAAGCAGGGTAGGGCAAAATTGTTGCTTCAAATCTGTGGAGAACCTGGGCAAGCCCAGAATATCCAGCTCCCTAGGACGAAGAAGCAAGGCAGACACCTTCTTCCTACCTGGCCACCCCTCAGGGTAATGCAGTATCTTGGGCCAGAGACCTTACAGCCCTCTAGATCACCCAGCCCCTGAGAAAGGAGAATAAGGCATCCTGGTATCTCCCCTACTCCCTCTCAACTGGCCTCCCCTCCTTCCCAAAGGAGCCTGTGATGTACCAAACACTGGAACAGTACCAGGGATTGAAATAAATTCATGAATAGCTTGGAAGAACATGCTCTTGGGAAGAAAGCAGCCAGTCAGGGTCCCACCACACAGATTTTGGTAATATGCAGGAATTGTCTTTCTTGAACTCAATTGCTCTTTATTGAAACTCCATGTTAGTGAGAGAGGAATTAGAAAATTGCAGTTATGGGCAACTGAATTCTTCTTCTTCCCTGGCATCCACACAATCAGGGTCTTCCCTTCCTTACTGAGGGAATACTGGGGCACTTGCTCCAGGATGGGTATAAACTACCACCAGGAACAGTAGTGACAGCACTCATGCCTAAAAAGGTGACTGTTCCACTTGGAACCTGTGTCGGTATGTGTGTGGACAATTCTAAACCAGGACAATTGTGAACAGATTCCCAAATCAGTTTGTGGAATAGACCAAGTGTTACATCTGCCTGCACCTTAAACTCTACCCCTTCTCTTCTCTTCAGTATTTGGAGATGGGTTCTTCCAATGATAATTTTCAAACAACGTCAGGGCAGTTTTAATTATTTTTTTTATTAGAAAAACACGAAGGGAACTGCATGTTGTTTCGGTGCTAAAACTCAGTCACTAACAGCTGGAGCAAGCCCTTTGTAGTACACTAAAAGCCCTGTTATCCAACAAGTAGAAAATGGGGGGTGCCAGGTATCTAAAAATTCCGGTTACCTGAAGCTGGCAGTTTTCGGCTAGACACAGAGCAGCAGCAGTGCAGGGTGGACGTTTCGGCCAGATGCAGACCGGTGGCAGTGCAGGGTGGCAAAGGGTGGTGGCAGCCACCACGTGCAAGCTTTCCCCCCCATTCTCCCAGCTGGCTGGAAAAATCCAGTTAGAGTATTCCAGCTAGTAGAATGCCAGATAACAGGGCTTTTACTGTATACTAGCAAGAATGACGGGGGGTGGAGGGGAAGGGGTCTGGGATGGAGTGCCACCACCTAATGCCCCATGCTGCCGCTGTTCTGCCTATTGCGGGGAGTGGGGCGGGGGAGCCGAGGCCAGTGCTGCTGGCCTCGGCTTCCCCACCCCCTGTCCAGTCCTCGGCACAGCTTGCAGGGAGCAGGGCGGGGTAGCAGAGGCCAGCACTGGTGGCCTTGGCTCCCCGCAGCCCCACTCTGTTGGGTCCTCGGAGTGGCTCCAGAATCATGACAGCACTCCCCCATGCTTGGAACACTCCGATAGGCTGACAAACAGCCAATCAGAGTGCAAATTAAGTGTGACAGATAGACAGACAGACTTAGGCTTTTATATTAGAATAGTTCAGAACTCTAGGTTGCAACAGACTGCACACTGGATTTAATAGCTGCTATCAGCTTTTAATAGCTAAAGTCACATTGTCTCACAGCATGAGGCAAAATAGAAAGCTTTATCCCCACGCTCCAAATGGCACCAAAATTAAAACAATAACATTTTCAAGATCTCTCTCAAATTTGAGTCAAAAGATTAAAGATTTGCATGAGGAAATCATCATCCTGAAAATCTCTGGATACATATTTTCCTGCTGGTTAAGAAAACTCTCATTTAGGAAAACACAATTTAGCTAATCGTCTTAAAATAGCAGTCATTACTCCTTAAGAAGGGAGGGTTTTCTATTAGCAATGCAGTTCTCTTATAGTTTTATTTGGAAGATATCTAAGGAAATAAGCAAGTCAACAGCTCCAACCACCACCACAAACATAGTATAGTAAATATTTACAATACTAAGTATTAATTAGATCCCATATTTTTCTTCAGCTTCTGGACCTGTGAAGCTGCTGCATTGTCAGCACTGAAATTTATTTGTAAATTGAAGTCCTCTCTTTGTCCACAGTACAGGAACTTCATAAACAAATTCCCTTCACCAACATGCATCAATTCAAAACTGAGAGAGAAATCTCTCTCAGTGTCCTGTGCCTTCCTTATCTTCATACTGAAAATGCCAAGACAAGATTCAAGTGCATATCTGTAATGGTAATAACATCCATAAATATAAAATACTCTTTCTTAATAAGACTAGACTGACACAAGAGCAGATGATTTTACATAGGCTATCTAGCTACTTCTACATCTGTTTGCTTTCCCACTGGTAACCAAGGATAACTCTGAACTGGAAATTTAAAAAGGGAAAGCCCCATAGCTATCCCTAATATCCCAAGTCATTCATGCCTTCCCTATTTTTGTCTAACTCTAAGCAGTGACAATACATACCTCTCCTTGGAAAATTTCATAGAGTTCAGGCAATGTCTCCATGGTCTCAAATCTCACAGACTTCATTAGTGAAGTTCTCTCAGAAGTATGAACTCCAAAATTCATTCCTATTCTTCCATCTGACTTCAGTTTCATTCAATAGATGGTATTCCTCTGTGGAGCGACCACATTCATAACTGAAATGCACAGACAACTCATGGAAAAATATTGTCCTAAATGATTAAAATAGCACATATGGAAGCCTTTTTGGAAAGTTTACATGCAAACTTTGGTATGACTGTAATACAATTTGGTTTCTGAAAACCCCATCACTATAATGGGATTACACTGTACAATACAGCAGTAAATGTCAGTGGGTAAGTAATGAGCCCAGTGACCAGGGTTCTTTTTACTTGTGCTGCCAATAGTTTACAGCAATGGTGGTCAACCTTTTTGGCAGGCATGCCACAAATCTGGTCTGCACCCTTCCCAATCTGCCATTGTGCTACTATCTCCTGCCCAACCTGCAGTGTTGCAGCACTGATAGCCTTTGCATGTAGAGGTTGGCCAATCCTGGTTCGCTACATGAAAAACAAGCAAGTCACTAATATACTTGCGTATCTCCTTCCTATGAAATGGGAATACAACATTACCCTCTTCTGGGGAGCTCTTTGAAGCATCTGAATGATAAGTGTCACATACACAGGACCAAGCTAGGGAGTGCAGTCGTATCCCCCTTCAGCTGTGTAGTGTATGTGCAGTGAGAGTCAGTTCTCCGAGCTCAGCCACTTGTCAGTACAGAGGCTGGAGGAGCTTGCACTGACATGGCTCTGTAACCCAGGGATGAACACTACTGCTTACCTCCTCCTCCTCTGCATTGCTGATTTTGGTGGCAGGCAAGGGGGTGGGTGGGGTAAGCAATGGCAGCATTCACCCCATAGGTTCTGGGGCTGTATTGATGAGCCACAGCCCCATGATCCACCCATGCACAGATATTCTAAAGTTTATTGTACACAGGGAAATACAACATAGTGTTTATCCACTGCTGGAAAATGGATCTGGTAACTTGTAAGCTTTGCCCACCTGTTTTAAAAGCCACTAGTCCCATCTATTTATAGATAGTTTCCTACTACCTATAGCACAAGACTATCAAAGGCATATCTGGGGAATCACTGTTAAAAAACACTTACCAGGAGATACTGGAGAGACTATCTTGTAAAGAAGGGGTGGGCAAAACTCGGGATCCAGCTGGGGGCTGAATTCTATTTCCCAGAAGCCCCCGCTCATGTGACTGGGGTGAGTTTCCATGGAGACCCCAACAGCAGCCACTCTGTAAAGGTTCCCATGGAGACCAGGCCCAGCAGTGCTCTGGAGCCCAGTTAAAGACCATGGCTCTGCCCGGACTCCAGACCCCACTGTCACTGCTGCAAGATCCTAAAGCTACTCTGGAGCCCAGCTGTACCCTGTCAGCAGGGGCAGCTATAGACTCCCCAAAATGCCCCATAGCCACCCCTCCAAGCTGCACAGGCAGCAGCAGCTGAGCTCGCACTACTGCTGCCCACAGCACAGCTCCCCTCAAAAAGAGGTTGGCGCTGCTGTTCCTGCCAGGACTGCTGGGGCTAATCTTCATGGAAACCTCAGCCCACCTATCTTGGCTGTTGTGGGGGCCTCCATGGAAACTGGCCCCAGCACAAGCAGGGGCTCCTGAGAAAGAGTCCACTCCCAGGTGGAACTGGCCCCGGGGGCCAGACTTGCCTGCCCACGCTGTAAAGGCATTGAAAAGACAACTGACAGCCATATCACCCCCTCTCACTTCCCTAAATAACATTCTTCTAATAGTTGATGCTTGTTCCTTACTGTTCCTTGAACCATACCTAAACCCAGGCTATCAGAGCTTTTTGTTGTGTGGGTTTTTTTTTTTTTTGGGGGGGGGGGGGGGGTAGGGTTGTTTGTTTGTTTGTTTTATTAAATACACCAAAGTTAAAAACTAT